AGGAAGCTATAAATAAAAATCAGGAGAGCAGCAATTAAGTCAATCCAGACTGCCTCAGAGAGGGTGCAGGGAACTGAACCTCATGCGCGTGTTCCACCAAGGAGCTCCAGCCGGATCCCCCAACCGACTGATTTTAGTTTGAATTGGTTTGTTTGTTTGTAGACGGGGTCTCCCTGTGAGGCCCTGGCTGTCCTGAAACTTGCTACATAGGCCAGGCTATCTTCAAACTCACCATGATTCACCTGCCTCTGGAGTGCTGGGGTTAAAGGTATACACCACCATAGCAGGCCCAAACTGGCAACAATGAAGTTTAGACACTTGGGGGCTAAGACTGCAACTCAGTGGTAGAGGACTTGATTATGAATACGAGACCATGGATTCCCCCTGAAACAAGCAAACAAAACAGACAAACAAAAACACTAAAAACAAAGACAACTACAGAGCGAACTAAACTCTAATGGGGGGAGTAACAATCGAGAATGGCTGGTGCACAAAATAGTCGGTGAAGAGATGAAGCACCCACCATACAGGGCTGAAGAGATGGCTCAGTTAACCAAGTACTTGCCAGGCAAGCATCAGAGCATCCAAGAGACCAGGACCAGGTAGGGAATGAACTCTGGGTTGGCAGCCGGCTCACCTAGCACCTTTTATATCAGTTATCTGGTCCACCCAGGAAGCATTAAAGGAGCATCTGGTAAGGGACTCTGGAGGAGTGGGTGAGATATGTCCAAATAGCCTAGGTTCCGATCACAGGAAATCTGTGTACTAAAACAATCTGGTGCCTTTGTAATCGTCTGCGGATAAGTTAGCTGTAAGAATAGAATCTAAGAGGGAACCAAGAGAACCGCCGGGTCCTTGCAGTTATTTCTCGTCTAACAGTTTGGGATTACTCTCTGTGAAGAGGACCACTTTCACTGAGCAGTGGCACCTCCAGGCACGACTCCAGTCCATCGTAGCCTTTCTGTCCAGGCAGAGGGAATTAGCCTCAGAATGAGGCTTCTCTGTCACCCCACGCTGCCTGCCTAAATGCTTGTTTTATGGTCATATAGCGGGCACTCAGGTGCTGGGGATTGAACCCGGGACTCTTGTATGTTAGACATGTGTCCTTCCACTCAGCTATTCCAACTGTTATTTAAAGAAAAGAATATAATCTTTTTCAAACATCTCTTTATTATTTATGGAACACATTCTAGGTGTTCCAAGAATATTATATTACAAACTATGCTTTGAACCTAATTTCATGTGTTAAAGAATCATTCTCGCTCACCCATCTTTTTTTTCCTCTTAATTATTTCGACTTTACCTCTTGATCCATAATTCCAACATCCACTAAATGTTAGCCTCGATACTCAGTTTCTCCTCTGAGAAACCACAGTGCAACGAATAATAGCAACTAGAAAGGAGAGTTTTCGGAGACTCTGGGAGCCTTGGCGGGGACTTCACTACTCACTTGAGTGCTGGGAGGCAGGGGTTACCTTCATCCCACCTCACAGATGAATGAGAGGAAGCCTGGAGTGGTTCTGTAGCTTGATGGAGCTCATGGAGGATCCTGGGGCGGAGCAGGAATGGATGGCTCTCTTGAGGGTATAATCAGGCACTGGGTTCAAATTGGAAGGTAACTCTGGATTTCATAGCCTAAGGGCTCAACTTCCAGGGACTCCTTTCCACTGCGGTATCTCTTCCCAAGTGTGTAATTATAATTTCATGGAAGCATTTCCTGTACTCTGCCTTGTGTGCTACCACACACTCCTTTGGCTTCTGTGACCTTTTAGAGACAGTGACAGTAGTGTATAACTCATTTAAACTGACACAGGAGGTGTCAGTATCTGCGGAATCAGTGACAGCCTCCTTCTAAATTTCCCTGATGTCCGTCCCCATTGCAGTGTCTCTTCGTCAGCAAGGGAGACTATTTTGAATTTTTCTGGATGGGAAAGACATTCTTGATCTCTTTTGAGGGGGGAGTCACTCTTAGTGATAATAACTAATACAGATCACTTTTATCCTGGCTACTAGATAAAGGATCATTCTTCCAAGCATTATGTTAGGAGTAGAAATTCTATCTTCTTCCTTTTTTAGAGGCAGAGAGCATGCTCAGTAAGATTGGCTTAGTGCTGGCATCTTCACGGAGGTAAAACAGATACTGTATCAATATGAGGTGATGTATCACCATGTGTACATGCTGTAGTGGTCAGCAGTGCAAGCATTAATATTAATTAATATTTATAGCCCCTAAGACTATGAAGAAATTATTTTAAGTTCCCATAACAACTGTTTATTCTTGTAAACATTTCCTGTGCAGCCAGTAGCTCCTTCTAGTGTATAAAACTGCGAGTTAGGATTGTTTTATGAAACATACATTGTGTATATAATATATATGTACATAATCCAACCTTTGTGTTGAGATAGATATTGTAAAGCATTATATAAATCTATCCTATAGTTTTGAGCTATAATGCATGTTTACTGTACAGGTGAAGAAACTGGGGCTCAAATATTACTTTATAAATTACAGAGATAATTCAAGAGAAACCTAGGACTCCAGTTCAAGGCTGATTTCAAGCCATGTGAAGATCTTCCATTTAACCTTGACTTTTGAAGCTAGGAGCTGTGGCCATTCTAAGCAAGTTGTATTCTTTCTAGAAATACACACGGAACAGTCTTGTTCCATTTTCAGTATGTTTGGAGCTTCCAGCACTCAGCGTATGGGTCTATTTTGTGACCCCTCTTCACACTGTATGATTTCTTGCTATTTATGTACGATGTGGATTTCGGCCTCGGAACTCACTCTACACACGATTACCAATACATAGCTTACACATACCAATACATGATCTTATTTGGAAATGGATCTTTGCGCAACAACCTGAAACTAAGAGGATGCCGTAATGGCTGGTTTCTTAGTCAAAGAGAGGAGTAGGAACTGGGGATGGCTCAGGAGTTAGGAAGACCTCCTGCTCTTGTAGAGGCCTCACACTGAGTTGCCAGCACTTAGGCTGGGTGTCTCACAGCCACCTGTAATCCCAGTGCCACGCGGTCTGATGTTTAGTCTGGACTCTGCAGACATCTGCACGCACACATACACATTCCTACGCACACATGTACACAGAGTTAAAACGCCATCATGCACACATACTCATACCCACACACACACACACAATACACAGAGTTAAAAATTAATCTTTTCAATAGAAGAAAGGCAAGTGTCTTTAGACCCGGATCAGAGGAGGCACGGGGAAGGAGTTGACCCAGCAATGAAGTAGACTTGGCCTGGAATGGCGTGGCCAAGCCTGTGAGTGCCAGGCATTGCCCCAGCCACCAGAGGATAGGACAAGGCAAGGGATTTCTAGGGAGCGTGGCCTTGACAGCCACACCTTAATGTCAGACCTCCAGGCTGTGAAGGAACACATCCTTGACGTTGCGGGGATCTGTTGCCTCAGATCTAGGAATCCAGCCTACCCGCTTCCCATGCCACCTTCTGTTTTAAGTATATTCCAGGGTTTGGGGGGCATCTCATGGTATATCTCACCACCTGTACCCTTGTAACAACCCCTTCTACCTGCCTCTGACAGTGGTGCCAACACCTAGCACCACTGTAGGGCCTTCCTGTTCCCACCTAGTCCCCACAGGGGAAACAAACAAACCACCTTACACTTCACTGTTTTACAAGAGCTCGCAGGCTTTGTATCCATGTCAGCAAGAAAAGAAAATCATTTTATATACGCTCTGTATATCAGAGTACTAAATCATGCTAAGAACACAGTTCTCTCTCTCTGTCTCTGTGTCTCTCTCCGTGTCTGTCTCTCTCTCTGTCTCTGTCTCTCTCCTCTACTGTGTGTGTGTCACTTTATGTCACTGAACCTGAAGCTGGCCAGTTGGCTACATTGGTTGGCCAATGAGTTCCAGGGATCCAGCTGATGGTGTCACTGCGGGAGGACACAGATGCCTCCACCTACAACGGCTTTTACACGCGTGCATGCTAAGGATCCCAAGTCAGACCTCAGGATTAATGCACTATGCTGACTGAACCATTTCCCAAGCCCCTAGGGGCACAATTTCTGATAATGTCCCATAAAGTCTTTGTCTTCTGTCTGTTCGAAGCCTCTAAAACTCCCAGTGTCCAAACGGCCTCTGGGATTTAAATGAATTAGCTTTAAGGTAGATTATTGGCCTCTTAAGGTCACTTAAAGACTCCCCAGTACCCAGTGGAAGCCCTGTGTTCCCTTCACCATCGAACCAAGAAGGTTTTGAGAACCTCACGGTTTGCTTGATGTTTCGAAAGCTGCTCGGAGGGCTAATGATTAAAGCAATATTAGTACCTGCTGACGACCTGAGTTTCAAAGTTGTCTTGAACTCAGTAGTGAGACCCTGAACTCTACACTTGGGAGCTACCTCGCCCCAGGCTGTCATCCCCTGCCCATGGAGGCACTGTGCCCAAAGAATAAAGAAGTTCAAATGCTCGAAAAGGTCATCAGTGGGAGGCCTCTCCAGAAAAATAACCTCCCTTGAGCCGGATAAGGATTTATGAGCTGTAAACCAACACTACGGGTCCCACTGTCGCTATAATTCCAGCCACAGCAGGGATCTCACTGGCCGGACAACATTCTGTGGGTGGAAGAACTGACCAGATTGAAGACTTCACCCGAACCCAACATAAATTCATAGTTCTCTGGAGAGACATCAGCTACGATCTCGAAATTCCTGTTCTATCTGCTAAGAGATCTGAGTGTAACCGAGACCCCCAGAGGAGGGACCATGCAGACGGGATTGACTTTTGTGCCAGGGCTTGTGGGGACCGAGCCGGTCTCAGGTGGCCTCCAGCTGTTCGGGCCTGCCCTTGGGCCGCTGGGTGCCTCCCGGGGGCGTCACGGCAGCCGCGGGGCTCGGGGCTCGGGGCGCCGGGTCGGGGCGCGCGGGCTTCCCCCACCCCCGGCGGCAGCGACACCACCTCCCGCCCCCGCTGCGCGCGCGCGCGTGGGTCCGTCCGTCTGTCTGCTCTCTCGACGTCAGTGGGAATTTCCAGCCAGGAAGTGAGAGAGTGAGTGAGAGAGGACGAGAGAGAAGTACCGAGGCGCGGCGAGCCGGGCAGGAAGAGGAGGTTTCGCCACCCGAGCGGCCCGGCTGCGCGCTGACGGCTTCCCGTGCCCTGCGCGCCCCCGGCCTGCCGCCGCCGCCGCCCTCGGCCTCGGCCTGCTCAAGGGCCGGCTCCAGCAGCGCAGGCCGGAGCTTAGGGCCCCGCCGCGCCCGGCCCGCCTCGCGCTTCTCCGCCCGCGCCGCGGCCATGGCGCGCCGCTGAGCCGCCGACCCCGGCCCGCCACCCCGACCCCTCTCGGGCTCCCGCCGGTCCGCGCCGCCCCGCCCCGCAGCGGGAGCCCGCAGGCGCGGAGAGGCCGCGCCGCACCTCCGGGGTAAGTCTCGGGGGACTGGGGCGGGCGGGGTAGGGGACAATCGGGGACACGGAGCCGCCGCCTCTCCGCCTCAGGCTTGCGGCTGTCCCTGCGGCTCAGCGCTGCGCGGGGCTCCGGGCGGGCCCGCGGGGAGGGGGCAGCCGGGGCAGGAGTTGCGGGACGCGCGGCCCCGGCTGCGGGGGACAGGGCACATCCGCACTGGGCGGCCCGAGGCCTCCCCGGTCGGTCGGGCCCTCCGAGTCTCCGCGGGCGGGAAGGGGAGCCGGAGGGGAACTCTAGCAAAGTTTTAGAAATAGCGACCCAAGCCCCTGCCGTGAGGGGTGGCAGCCGGGCTGAGGTCCTCCGCGGGGGAGGAGAGCCAGGAAGGTGCTTGGTGCAGTGCACAGCCAGATTTCACCAAAGGGAGGTCGGTGAAATGAAAGCAGAAGTGCCTGTCAGTCCTGCCTGCTGGGGACCCCCTACCCAGCTCCTCAGAATCCAGCAGGAGAACTTGGGGCCCACTTTCCGATCTGTGATAGACACCCCCCCCCCCACCGCGGCACACACACACACCCTTGGCCACACACACACACACACACACACACACACACACACATAGTGCATTCAGCTGCCAAATCTCAATATTGGTTTTCAAAATATAAGGAGGGCCTCACACCGATTCTTTAGGCCTGGCATTTGAAAGAGAAATTACCTACTAATAACACCTCTTAGACACTTGATTGCAGGAAACTCTAGGATAATGACACCGTGTACCGTGCGTGACCTCTAAAACAAAACAAAAAAAAAAGATACAAACAAAGCCTTTCCTCCATGTAAGCTTTTAGACACCGATCTTGGCTGTGTTTATTAGTCTATTCTGAAACTTAAGTGGAACTAATGAGAAAAGATTTCATCATCTAGATTTAACTGGTGTTTATGGAGTTTTTAAGGTAAAGGTTGACATTGCCACTAACCATATTTAACTAAAATGATTTTGCTGTAGGGCTCATAACTGAGAAATGCTTGCGGTGTTTATTAACATTTGATAGCTGTGGCATCAAATAATGGGGTATAGCCTGATGGCTGTTGGTAAAGACAAAAGCTGGAGATCAAGACAGACTTCAGGAGGATTCTAGTGGAATCCTCAGCTGAGTATTCTTGGGTAGGCATAAAATGCATGAGTATTTGTAAGACATTAAAAAGGGAAACTCGATTAAAGTAAGCCCCTACCTGCAGTGTGTCTTTCCCTGATTTTAATATTGTGCTTTCTAGAGATGGAGCCACTTAGTGTCTGATGAACTAAAAATTATGTAAATTATTTACAGCAAAGTGCTTTGCTTTGCACATGAACTTGAGAAGACGGGAATTAAAAGGTTTACTTTCTATTGCAGTTAACATTTGTCAGCCAATTGGATGAGTAACAGAACACATCTAGCAATGGGAACGAGGAATCTGCAGCTCTTGTCCATGCTGACACCTCTGGGAGTCTCTTGCTAGCTAGCAAATGTCTCCTTGGCTTACCAGCCTCAACAAACTTCAACACAAAAGGCGGCTGCTACGTAGACTTAATGCTGCCACTAAGATACTATACTTGCTGGGAAATGCTAACCACTTCAAAACCAAAAGACTTTTAAAGAAAGTTGTTTAATCCTGTTAAAGGCTGGTGGCGACGTGACAATCTGTGATCTTTGTTCAGAAATTCAGTTGTGTCTCGTGGGCTACACATGGCAGTTACTTGAGCTGAGCAGGTAGTCAATGTCCCTGTGTTTCAAAGGCAGTTCGTAAATACTGGAGTATACATACAAAAATAGTCCTTCCCCTTTGTCAGCACTGCTTTGATCTTTGTGTTTCCTTTTTTACTTCTGCCTCTAAAACTAGATCAGCCGGGCTGACTGAGTCGCAGTGGGGTAATGCCCGGCTGGTTGGAAGGGGGCAGCGTTTTAGGTTTAGTGGTCGCATTCCCCGTGCCTTGGTCCCCTCAGAGGAATCGAAGCTAGGTGGAGAAGCGAGTGTTTCTGCAGGCTGTTTTCACTGCTGCTTTCAGACTTCCAGATAACTGATGAAGTAAGCCACTGTCTTGATGTTCAGGGATTGCTCATTGTGGTAGATGGATCTAGATAAAAACTTGGCAGCCATGTGGATTGTGGATTATCATTCAATCAGCAAGCCCAGGGTTTCACCTAATTTCTTTATAAGGTATTCCCCTGCTCAGAAAAGGTGAGGGTTCTGGCTTCTAGGGGGAAGTGACCACTTACAACCTTCAGTCAATTTGAGCTTGGGCAAAGAAGGAAAAGTAACTGCCATTTTAAAACAATAAGCTAAAATAATTGTTCCTGTATTGCCACGTGGATTCATTGTTTAGCCATACTGGGCTAAACCTGGGGCCTTAGGAGTTTTCTGCTATGAAACTATACCTCCATATACCTGCAGCCCTACTGACAGGGTTTTTGGATAATGTTCTCAAGACGCCATCTTTCCCCCACCCCTCCAGAATTTCCTGATAGATGTTCTGTTCTGGGCCCAGAGATGCCATGTTAGGAAGTGTACCAGGAGTGCACTAATGGAACCAAAGGAGTAAACCCCTGCCTTGTGCTCTTCTGCTGTGACCAATTGGACGGGAGTTCTGTCCACGAGACGGGATGTATGGGAATCAGTGCAGAGGTTCTCAGGAGTTTGTCTTCTGGGAGGAAGTTGTTTTGTTTGGATAGCTTACCAGCTTTCTGCTTACAACATGGATGGCTTATATAAGGTAGTGAGGTTGTTGTGTTAGAAGAGGTGAGCCAGGAGAAGGTGGAATAGAATTGTGCTTGGGACTGACATGCCTTGCCCCTGCATTTCAGTCTGATTAAAGCTGGTTGATACCTTGGGCACCCGATTCTGCTTCTGGGAACTGAGATTTGCGCCTTTGCCCCCTCCTCAGTACTGAACCTGGTTGTTGTGTTAGAGGGGAGCAGGTGGAAGAGTGAGAGCCGATGCATTCTGTGGAAGCGAGGGAGATTTGAGGCCCCGGGGAGGAATGTTTGGAAGATGGGCATAGTCTTACAAGAGTAGAACCTGGGAGAGGTTTGCAAACCACAGGGTTGGTAGAGTTAAGAGTTCTTATCTTTGTGATGTTGCCTTAATGAGTATACATTGTCTTGTCGGAAAGGAAGAAGGGAAGGGAGGGAGGGAGAGAGCCAGCGAGAAGACAAGGAGGGAAGGGGGAGGGGAGAGGAGGGAGAGAGAAGGAAAGAAGGGAGGAAAGAAGGAAGGACGGGAGAGTGAAAAAGGAGGGGTGGAGAGAAGGAGGGAGGAGGGAAGGCATTCTTTTCCTGCGGATGAGATGGCTTTACCCCTCTTGCTTCTGTACTTCTTAGAGGATGTTCCTGGATGCTAGTTAATATTTTCAGATGAGATTGGAAGACTAACAAATAGTTTAAAAATGAGATAAGACTGCTGTACTTCAACCCACAGAGTTCAAAGCCTAGTGTAAGACAGGATTTGGTAAAACCTGTGACATCTAAGAGAAGAAAACATAGATAAAACTTTTGTTGGAGTATTAATCCTAAGTACTATATATCAAAATTTTAAATCTATTATTATAAAGCACTTATATACATGGTGTAGTAACTAACAGATTTAATTATGAGTAATGTACATTTGATAGGCTTTGATTTGTTGTTTATTTGTAAAGTGGGAATAATGATATTTATGTTCTAATTATCTAGTTCAGGTTGCCTTCTAACTTTTTGCCTTTTACCATTAGGCCCAAACCACTCAACCAGTTTTTATTCTGATCCCTGCTTCTAACAGATTTAAATATTTATGATCCTTCTTCAACTATGAAAAAAATCCTGAACTTTCAAGAAGTATATAAATATTCTACAAGGCATATTTAGAAGAGCCTAACGTTATTTTAAAAAGAATAAAAGGTTATTTAAAAGAGTCTAGTCCTATAGTTCTAGCTAAGAGCAAATAACAAACATCTAATCTATGCTGAAAGGAATCTCTAACCCTATGTTGAGTTCGTTGGTATTTATATGATACCTAATAACTGTATGAGTAACATTAAATTGTTTCACAGACAGCCTTTTACTAATGGCCAGTGGTTCTCAATCAGTGGGGTGCAACCCTTTTGTGGGTTAGAACAACCATTTCAAAGGGGGTCGACATCAGACATATCCGATATTTACATTATAATTCATAATAGTAGCAAAATTATAGTTATGAAATAGCAATGGAAATAATTTTATGGTTGGGGGTCACAACAACATGAGCAACTGTAAAAGGGTCTCAGCAGTGGGGAGTTTGAGGACCACTGCTGTGGGCAATAAAAAGGACCCTGTTTGCTGGCTGGTAGTACTGCACGTGACTTTAATCCCTGCACATGGGAGGCAGAGGCGGGCGGATCTCTTGAGTTCCAGGACAGATAGGGAGAAACCCTGTCTGGAAAAACCACGTACGCGCGCACGCGTGCGCGCATGCACACACATACACACACACACACACACACACACACACACAAAAGTACCCTGTTTTATCTTTCTTTCTGGTAAGAAAGAAGAAGCCCCAAACCCAGCTTTTGCTTCCTAGACGCTGTATTTTATGTGAAATACTTTCATGTTTTTTTACGGTGAATAAACTCTTAAACTACTGCTCTCTGAAAAAGGAAGCCTTTCATTCTAGAGGGAAATTTATGAAATGGAAAAGTATCTTTTTAATTTTAAAGTTTTCGAGAGACTAGCCAAGCGAGGTAATAATGTAACCAAAACGCAGACACAAATAAAGTGTGTGTGTGTGTGTGTGTGTGTGTATGTGTGTGTGTCCGTGTCTCTGTATGTATGTTTAAAACTTTTTTTTTTGCAAAGTTAGAACTTCTCTAAATTCCAAAGAAACCATAATTTCGTTGCTAACCTCTTCTAGAAAAGGAACCATTGCTAACACCTACCCAAAAGGTCTGAAATAAAATACGGCCTCTAGATGTAAATGCTTCTCATTCATGAGCCTGTTCCAGGGAACTAGATGGAAACCCCTGGGAACCG